GGGGGGGGGGGGGGGGGGGGGGGGGGTATGTCCCAGTCTAGTGGTATTTTACTGGCACCAATCACAGACCACACACCGGCCAAGTATGGCCTCATGGCTCTTATTCATGACATCGGCCATGCCAGAGCGGAAGCTTCCCACGGGTCACCTTCCTGGTAACTATTCCAGCTCAATCAGCTAGTCTGGGCACGACATCGGCCATGCCGGAACAGAAGCTTCCTAGGGGTCACCGTCCTGGTACTATTCCAGCTCAATCAGCTAGTGGATGCCCAGACACGCGACGGTGGGACTGCCACCTAGGATTGCAATTTATTTTCTTTCCCCCCCCCCCCCAAAGAACCAGCCCCTTCTATTCTGCGGGGCATCAGTCCAGTTGCTAATCACCAGCAAGCAGAAAACAACTTACATGGCAAGAGAAGAGACGGGGACCGCCCACTACCACCACCACTCAAGTCACGGTACAGGGGGGGGGGGCTGGAAGGGGTGCCCCCATGGTAACCATCCGCCTACCCCCTTCCAGGGGGCATATAATGGCCGGGAAACGGATCTACGTACCTGGACACCCATTATATGCTCCTCGGGCAGGGGAGGCCCCGGTTCCATTGGGCGCCTCACCTGCCACCGGGCCTCACAAACGTTTCACATATTCATTCCCCCCTCGCATATATCCTCTTTTCATTCCCCCAACCCCCTCTTTTCTAATATCAGCACCTGACTCCCCTTCCTTACCTATACCTCACCAACTCCCCTCCTTTTTAATACCATCACCTAGCTCCCCGTCCTTGCCTATACCATCCCTAGGTAGTCCCCTTGTCCTTGCCCACACTACTACGACAAAGGCTTAAAAAAAAAAAAAAAAAGACAAAGGCCAACTATCCCATGGCCATTGTAGCGCCCTTATCCTTTCCGTCGTGTGCATCTCTCCCAACGGTTGATCATTTACCCTTTTACAATGTCACCCAGCTCCCTCGGCCAGCCTAATAATATTATTATTATTTATTATTATTTATTATTATTATTTATTATTATTATTATTTTTTTTTATTATTATTATTTATTATTATTATTATTTATTATTTTATTTTTATTTTTTTTAATACGCTATATTCTTCTCTCAAATCTTTCATCATCTTTCAAATTCTTCCAATTCACCTTCACTACCTACCTACCACTACTCCTAAGGCTTATACAGGGGATCCCTGCAAAGTTTGTGCAAACGTTATTACATTAGTAATAGTAATTTAACAACATCTACTGTTTCTACTTTTCTAGATCATTTATCAGTAATACTAACAATGCAAAAATGTTTTTAAAAACTATTAAAAAGTACCAAAAAAAAAAAAGCCCTTTTTTAAAGTTTTTTTTGCACATGATGGGGAGCATGTATGCTGCGTCTGTTGCATCTAAAACTCAAAGACGATTGACAGATTCAACGATTGCAATTTAACCATCAGCTCACACGAGCCTATGTTGACGAAGCTACCTTCCAAGGCTCACAAGGCTCCAGTAGTTCAGATTCGTAGTGGCCTTCTGCACTCACTGCCGGCCCAGGCCGGAAGTGTGATGGCCTTGGCGCATAAACCGGTAAGAGTTTGACTTAGCGTCGAGCGAACAGATGTTTTAAGCTGGAAACTAATCCCACAGTTGCCACTGTCAGAATTCCCCCACCTTTACGGCAGGACGCATCCTGGTACAGATCATGCACCTGGTCATCTACTCGTCAATGTGCATTCTGACAGTGGCACTGGTAGCATTAAACCCCACGGAGAATGCACATCAGTGTGCATTCTCTCTGACAGTGGTGGCGCTTGTGGCAGTAAAGTGCAGATGAATGGCAATCTTAGACGTGCGGCTTTCCCCGCGCATGTGAGTGGTATGACATTGGCAACGACGTCCTCTTTTCCCAAATACATACCATTGTGATGATTCAACTCCCAATCAGCATGCAATCGCACACCTCACGCAGTACAACAATCATGTGAGAAGTCACACTGGACACTGAGAGATGAAAACCAAAGTCGCTCACTGACATCCACACCGAATTATTGTACTATACAAAGAAATTGTCTGTATCCTCCAGTGGCACCTGCCGCACACCAACCATGTACGAGCCAGGTATGTAACTGCTCTCCCCTCTCCCTCATGTGTGACTCTCCCTCTCTCTCTCATGTCTTGTATCCCTCAACCTCCCTTCACACTCATGCTCTCCCTCTCCCTCATGGATCCACCCTGAATACAGTTGTGATGTACTCCGACGAACCTCTGCGGGCATGGCAGTCTTCTTCCCCCTCCCTAGCTGTGGTAATCAGACGTGTCCTTTGCTCCTCCTCTAGCGCCCCCTCCCATCCATGTCGCACTGTCGCACAAGCAACCCGCAGCGCTTCCGCAATTTGCACATGAATAGTTTATCCAGCTGGCTGGTGCTGCTGAGTTTTTATACTTGCTGATCCGCCTTCCAGACATCTTCTGTTGGTTATGGGTTGGCCTTCTTGCCTTTGTTCCCTGCTTCTGGAAGCTCACGGACTTTCTTCCGTTGGCTGCTTGCGTGAATCGACTGACACCTGGCCTAACGGCTCTGGTGATCCTGGCTGAAATTGTGGTGCCTCCTAAAGCCAGACTCTTCAACCCATAACCGTTATCTACCAGGGACTTCCTATCACAATGTACTTAACTAGCTCGCCCAGGCCTCTGCAGTCATGGTACAAACGAACAGTACTCTTCTAGAGTGTTCGCGCACATTGTACAAGTGGCTGGAACCACTAACAGAACACGGAATGGGACTTAGGTCTAGAACCCTGGGGCTCGGGACTGGGACCTGGGGCTCGGGACTGGGACCTGGGACTCGGACTTGGGACTCTGGTACAGCGTGAAATCCTTTCACCATAATACTATGTACTATATTGTACTATATATCGTCAAACAGAACTGCCCAGTAAACCGTAGGCAGAGAGGGAGAAATAGTATATATATGTGTATAAATAAATGATAACTATAGATTATGTGGGATAAACTCATGAAGTATATAGAGTCTATAGACTATGTGTATATGTGCCAGTATGTGGTGCATTTTATGCAGGTTGAAATTCATCAGAGTATTCCAGAGATGTTGGACAGTGTTAGCCTTTGCCGTTTTGTGCAATGTTTTGAGATGATACTCTCTCTCCCACATCTGCTCATTTCTTAAGGGAGGCGATGCTCTTTGGTTTCAAGATTGTTTCCCTCTCTTCCAGTTTTTGTCTTCTCTTTTACAAGTTTCCCCCACCTCCCCCCCCCCCCCCCCCCCTCCTTCCTTCCCTGCCCAGTTTTTCAGTCCAATTGCAATGTTCAGCAGAGGGTCTTGCATGCATCCCTGAACAAAGTGGAGACCTTCATCAGGGTTCAAGAAGACCCTAGATTAGAGGATGGACTCTATGTATGTAGGAGGTGGTGGTATACATCTCTCTCCATATCCCTTGTCGAGAGTTGACGAGTAACGAGTTTGGTTGATCGTTGGCTAGATTCTGAATTCCTCTTGGAGACGGTTTGTTGGTGGAGTATTGGAACACTGGACCTGGTTTATTGGAACACTGGACCTGGTTTAAAGCATAGCATAGCTAAAGCTGGGTAATGATGGCCCCAGTATTTCTCCGAGTAAAATTTTAATTGTAAGGTCACAGACCTCAGTTTCAATTGGCTGCAATAAAACTTGGTTTTACGGCACAAAAGGAAGAGACGACACAAAAAAGAGAGGTGGGAGGAGAGGAGGTAATAGTAAGAAGAGGAGAGAAAGAAAATAAGGGAGAAACGACAGAAGCAGAAAGAAGAGAATCAGTAGGAAAGAGAAGCAGAAGAGAACGCAAGGAGAGGAAGAATTTGACAAAGAATGGAGAAAGAGAAGGAAGAGAGCAAGAGAAGAAATACAAGAAGAAATGAGCAGTAGGAGGGACAAGCAGAAGGTGAGAAGAGTGGAGAAGGAAAGCGCGCACAAGCAAGAACAAGAGGAATGCTGATGCAGGAACACAGAAGGGGTATGATGATGATGATAATGATGATGATGATGATGATGATGATGACAATAACAGTGATGAAGAGCATGGGAGGCATGTGAGAGCTGGCAGGCTCTTGAAGTCCATTGCAGATCCTATGGGCCTTTTGACTTCTTGACGAACTCGGTTGTTTCGACTGTCAGGCACAATGTCCGAGAGACTTCTTCTTCACGCAACAGCCCAGAACCGGAAGTAAATATTTGGTGCTTCTGGATGTTTTTAATTGTTTTGAGAAACTGAGGTTTCCTACCATCATGTTTTCCAACCCACTACCGGAACTGGGAGGTTACTGAAGGTGATTCTCCCCACAAAAGAGTGAAGCCGTTGGCCTAACTCTATGTATATTACCAGCTATGGCAAGAGGAAGAGGAGGATGGAGGAGGAAGAAGAGGAGGAGGAGGAGGCAGAGGAGGAGGTGCAGGGAAAGGAGGAGGAGGGAGGAGGAGGAGGAGGAGGACGAGGAGGAGGAGGAGGACGAGGACGAGGAGGACGAGGAGGACGAGCGTCGGCTAGGGCAACAGGGGGGAGGACAAGGACGACAACAACAATGAGGGAGGACAACAACAACAGTGAGGAAGAGGCAGAAGAGGTGCAGTCAGAGGAGGAGGAGGTTGGCGATGACGATGACAGCAACAGGGGAGAGGACAAGGACAATGATGACAATGCGGTGGAGAAGGACAATGACAACGGCGATGACAACAGGGGCGAGAACAATATTGACAATGAGGAGGAGGAGGAGGAGGAGGAAGGATAAATCCTACAGGAGGAGGAAATGTAACAGGGTGGGTTTCCAGTGCAACTGTGGTGATGGTACCGAACGCAGACTGGAGTTGTATTCATAAGGGTATGCATGAAAAAACAAAAAAAAGAAGAAGGGAGACAAGCAAAAAGTTCAGCAGGAGTAGGGTCGCGGAAGGGCCTACGGGCGTTGTGTTCCAAGTGTGTTCCAGTATGCCCAAGGCCTGTTCAAAGCATGTTCCAACTGTGTTCCAACTGTGTCCGAAGCATGTTCCCATGTGTTCCAAATGCATCCCAGGTGAAGTGTGTTCCAAGCATGTTCCAAGTGCCTTGCAAGTATGTTCCAAGTGTGTTCTGATATGCCCAAAGCCTGTCCAAAGCATGTTCCAACTGTGTTGGAAGCATGTTTCACGTTTGTTCCAAATACGTCCCAAGTGAAATGTGTTCCAAGAGTGTTCCAAGGGTGTTCCAAGGGTGTTTCTAGTGTGTTTTGGGTTCTGATTGTTCCAGGCGTGTTGCGGGTGTGTTCCAAGTGTGTTCAAGCGGTGTCCAGATGTGTTCCGGGTGTGTTCCAGGTGTGTTCCAAATATGTTCCAAAGGTGTTCCAAGTGTGTTTCTAGTGTGTTTTGGGTTCCGATTGTTCCAGCCTTCCAGGCGTGTTGCGGGTGTGTTCCAAGTGTGTTCGAGAGGTGTCCAGGTGTGTTCCGGGTGTGTTCTGGGTGTGTTGCGGGTGTGTTCCGGGTATGTTATCAATGCGTCATTCAGCTGTCTCCAGTGAAATGTCAACAAGATGCTTTGTTCAACTGTCTGCAGTGAAACAAGTGTCAACAAGTCAAGACTACTATCTACGCACGATGGACATTCATCAGCAGTCGAAGGGAGGAGATTCAGGTGACGTATGATGCAGGCAGGATCCTTGAGAATCACAGTCGTACGTCACAAAATGACATAAATACAATACAAGGCATGAACATCAACGACTCGGCCGAAAACGAGTGCAAGCAAAAGAAGGAAGAACACCACAACCAAGGGCGGGACAAGCTGGCCCTTCTTCCAATGGCGTAAACACTCTAGGATGCAGCCATGGCACAATCTTCGGGGATTCTTGTCGCATATGTACAAGTTACAAGGACTATACATGAGCATGAAGATGCGTAAAATGTGCAACGAAAAGAAATAGAAAAGCAGTTTAAAGCACCTCAAGGGGCATGCACTGCCGGCCCCTTCCATTGGTAACCCAGGGTAGCAACAAAGACGTTGAAAGTACGAGCTTTCTACAATGTCGAAACAAGATTCAATCAATTCATATGTAGCATAGGAGAATTTATAACTGAGAAAACGGCAATCCAACATCATCGCATCATCAGAACTGCCGCCTTCAAGAGGCATCCACTGCGCGCCTTCAACTGATAACGCAGGGTAGAAACAAGAATGTTGAAACTTGAAAGTACAAAGTCGAAACAAAACTCAATCAAGTCATATGTAACGTAGGAGAACTGAGATAACTTGGAATCCAGCAAGCTAACATCGTCGCATCATCCGAACTGCAGCCTTGTCATGGACTGCCACATAGAGGTAGGTAGGTACCAGAAAAGTATGGAGTCAGCTTAACTGTCACAGAGAAGTATCCATATCTCAGAGATCAACAAACTGACAACTCAACATCGCCACATCATCAAAATTGCAGCCTTCCCTGTGAGTGATCCATCTTTCTCTCTCTTCCTGTCTCTCCGACCGCCCTACTCCCACTCTCTCTCCTCCTTTCACTCGGCTGATTCACTTAGCATCCAAAGTGCAAAAGACTGTCGCTGGAAACGTTGAGGCAATTCATATATTACATCAGAGCGTTCAGTTTCTCGGGGAAGCAGGACAGCAAAGTGATACCATCATCACATCGTCAAATTCCAAACCCTCGCCACTGAACGAGCACATTTTCTCTCCCTTTCCCATCTCCATCTCCATCTCCCTCATATCCATTCCCCTCTTCTATCTTCCTCCCTCTCTCCCATCTCTCATCTTCCATCTCACTTTCCGATCTCTCCCTCTCTCCCATCTCCATCCCTCTCTCATTTCCTATCTCGCTTTCCAGTCTCTCTCCCTCTCTCCCATCTCCATCCCTCTCTCATTTCCTATCTCGCTTTCCAGTCTCTCTCCCTCTCTCCCATCTCCATCCCTCTCTCTCTCCCATCTCCATCCCTCTCTCTCTCCCATCTCCATCCCTCTCTCTCTCCCATCTCCATCCCTCTCTC